GTTATCAATATTAATTTCAACATCAAGGTCAACAAATATACTAGCGATATTAACAGTCGTAAGATATTATATTAACATTGACAATTATTTGTTTGTATTGAACATTTTTATATATAAATATTTATATGGTTTCGGTATAGATATAAAACTATACGTTTATTATATTTGCCTAATTATCGCAAATAATTTGTCGTTATAAATTAAATTATGTTTTATATGTCTAGTTTATATAAAATAAAAACTGTATAATAATGAAATTTTCAAAACAGAATCTTTAATGTGTTTTACATATCACTATTTTATAATTATTTTGATCTTAATAAAGGCACTGCCTTAATTGCCATACCCGCCATACAAAAGCGAGAGTGTAAACACATAAATAGCTCTCTCACTCCCAATTTGGCGGTTCTGAATGGGAGAGTAAGAGTAATTTATATGTGTTTACAATTATAATTAGTAAATTATTAACTCATTTAATTATAGTATAAGTAAATATGTTTGTAAGAAATTAATAAAATTTTAATATATTATAATTTTCAAAATAACTAGCTCTCTCGCTTTTGTATGACGGGTATGGCTGGTATGGATATTAAGGCAGTGCCCTCAATAAATCTATTGTGCATTTGTAACGTAAACTCAATATATATAATTTAACAAAATCTTATTCATACGTGATATCATATTTCCTCTTGAATTATAAACTTTTAATCAACTACGAAGTGATAAAATAAACTTAAACTATTTCAATAGTATTTATAAATAATGTTTGCTATTTGACATTTTAAAATAAGTAACAGTACGTCAACATGCAAAACTGATTTGTATATTATGCAAAAATTATTTCTTATAGCAAAAGATTATGAAGTATAAATATTAAACCCTGTAATCAAATAGGAAGTTAATGATAAAATAAACTGCAATAACAATAATTATATTTAATATAACAGTCATTGGTTATTTGATTTACAGTATATACTATATCCTAATTTCACAATTTTCCAACATGCTGAATGTATTAATTATTTGTTCCCTACAAAACAATGAAGCATGACTATTGTCAATTCAATTATTTTCAATTATCACGCAGCAACAATCAACTTTTATTATCCTTGGTGATTTATTTATTAGGATTTTCGTCATTGTATTTCATGGTTAATTGTCACGATATACCACCAAGTATAGAATACTTTTATCCGAGATCAGGACCATGGGAGGGTGGCACAAATATCACTATACAAGGTTTTAATTTCGTTAATAAATATAAAATCTTTAATATATATATTAAATTATTGAACAACCAAACCATAAATTGTCAACGCGCTGATATTCATGATAATTACGACCTTGAACCTTCTAACGTTATTAACTGTGTCGTTCAGAGTCCACATGGGGTAAAAAACGAGCCACTTTATTTAGATGCAGAATATGGTATTATTATTATTATATATGGTAAAAGCATCGATAAACAGTCCATTATGAAGTCTGTTGAATATTTTAGTATGGTGTCACCTAAGGTAAAATATATCAATCACTTGTATGGACCAATTGACGGTGGTACTAAAATCGAAGTTGGTGGTGAATATATGAATGCAGGATCAACATTTAATGTAATTTTAGGAGACAATTACTGTTATATTAAAAATTACAATAGAAGATATAATAGAATGGAAGTTATTTCACCAAGTGCAAAGCAGCCGGGTTATGTTGATATTAAAATTCAATTCGATAATAGAATCCATAAAATTAAAAAATTAAATTTTAGATATAATCCAAATCCGGTAGTTAAAATTATTTACTCAGGCGGCCATGGTAAACTGCAAGCAATTCAAAATGGTGGCATTGTTATTACTATTTTAGCAAATTATATGAATGATGTTAATAATCCAGTTTATGTTTATCTGATTGTTGAAAAGATAAAATATTTTGGCGATTGCGTAAACCCAATTTATCCCAATGATGATTTAATATGTAAAAGCCCGTACGTACCAATGAATGCACTAAATTTTAGTAGTAATCGTGATTTTGTCGAAGTAGATTTTGGTATTGTAATAGATTCTGTGAAATCTGTAATGAATTTAAGTAGCCGCCAAAACGATCCATTTCCTAAATTTAAAATATATCGGAATCCAATCTACAATCCCTATGACGATACTAATTTCGAGAAATATTATAAAAATGGTTATTTGATAATAAATGGTAAACACCTTAATAAAGGGTGCCATATATCGGATGTTGAAGTAAAAATTGGAAACGAAACATGTTCAGTTACCTCTCTCAATTCAAATCAGTTAATTTGTTATTGGAAACCTAGTGGGTATGATACATATAACAGGGATATAATTGTTAATGTTGGCAGAAATTTAAGTTTTACAATTGGCCATTTACACGATAATAATACTTTAAAAATTCAACACGATAATACATCATTTATAACATTAGATTATTCTGAAATTAATCATGATAACATCTATACTAATTTACTAAATGCGACAGAGATTTATCATAATAACTTCTATTCTGTTCCACCAAATGCGACAAATATTGAAAACAAGATAGATAATAACATTACAACTTGGATAATAATTAGTATCGGAGCAGTTATAGTGATTGTATTAATCATCGGTATAATATTAAATCTTTACAGGAAAAAACAAGTCAACATTAAAATTAAAAGGTCTAACCAAACTACCTATCGATTGAAAAATTTTGACAAATTAAATGAACAAAATAACCAGGATGGTCGTACAAATGATACATGTGAGCAGATTTTTACAAATATTTTACTCTAGCTTGAATAACCACTAACACAGTGCTTTTATCAATAAATAGTCACTGATGAAAATATCATTTCCATTCAAACTGATGATTCGAAAATTGATCAACATTCTCAAATTTCTAATAAAATTGATAACATATTGGATTCATACAAATTGAGAATCGATTTCCATGATATAGAGCTTAAAAACGTTATAGGACATGGACAATTTGGAAAGGTGTATAAAGCCATCCTACATATTAAAAATAGTAGAATAGACCTGGATATTGCAGCAAAAAGTAAATTTAAATAACATACTTATAATCTTAATTTTATCTAATAATAACAACAACATGAATTATACTGTACAAACCTATTTTAACTTTATAGGTATTGTTGGAAATGATATAGACGTTGACAAAACACTAAACGAGGCTATTGCAATAAAGAGTTTTAAACATGATAATGTTTTACAACTTATGGGGGTAACGTTCGATGACAATGGTAAACCAATAATTTTGTTGCCATATATGGAAAATGGTGACCTTTTAATGTATCTACGTGATGATAAAAATAATCCAACAGGCGAGACATTAATAAAATTCGCATTAGACATTGCTGAAGGTTTGTTAAAATTAGGTTATATAGTTTCATAAATTAATATAATTATCTAGTGATAAAATGTGTTATGCCAATTTTGATTATATTTTTAATTATTTTATATATTTAAAATTATATGTCGCTTAAGTTTCAATGAAATCTATAAACATTAATTAAAATTGATTAAAATATAGGAATGGATTACCTCGCAAACAACCACTTTATACACCGCGATCTGGCTGCAAGGAACTGTATGTTAGACTTGAAATTATGTGTAAAAATTGGAGATTTTGGACTTTCCCGCGATATCTACGGAATGGACTACTATAGCAGTGATAACACTAAATGCAAACTACCCGTCAAATGGATGGCACCGGAAAGCCTACAAAGGGGTACATATAATACCAAAACAGATGTCTGGTCTTATGCGATACTGTTATGGGAGCTGTTTACCCGTGGTGATACACCGTACCCCGGGGTAGAAAATAGAGATATTTTAGATTACATTAAAAATGGTCATCGTCTCTCATGTCCTACCTATTGTCCTAAGTTTGTCTATGAATTGATGACCCGGTGCTGGTTAGATAATAATCGGGATAGGCCAACTTTTAATCAAATAATCGATGATTTAAAAGCTATAGTTAAATGAATTTAAAGTTGGCCATTAATAGGCTAAATGGGGAATCTCGTTAGGTGTCAGCCAATTGTGCCAGGATAATGTGCAATAACATAAACTCAATGATCATATCTACCGTTTGAATTGATCAAACTTACCGAATATCACAAACTAATTCTGTAAATTCAATAATAGTCATTGGTGACATGCACATTTTACATATTAAATAACATAATAAATATGGTTGGCTATTCAATCATACAGTAATTTTTTATATGAATTCATAGACTTAAATTTTCCGTAAATATAATCACAATTTGTATTAAAATGTGACGGATAATTGCCGTCAAAGTATTAGTGAAGTGCCGTTTATATTTATAATGTTATTTAATATGTAAAATGTGCATGTCACCAGTGACTATTATTGAATTTACAGAATTAGTTGGTGATATTCGGAAAGTTTGATCAATTCAAATGGTAGATATGATCATAGAGTTTTTGTTATTGCAGATTATCCTGGCACAATTTGCTGACACCTAACGAGGTTCCCCATTAATACATAGTGAACTGTGCAAATAATATGTGACCTAAATTTAAACACCTTATAATTCAATATGTATTTGAATTGATTGATAAAACTCTTTAAACCTCAGTCACACATATGGACTGTTTGTTATTAACATAACGAATGTATAATGTACTTACTTTATAATTGTATTTATTGCAGTGATTAACTATTACAACTAGATAAATATACAGTATAATTTACTTTGATTTTGTTTGTAAATTATTTTACTTATATAAAAATTGTATACATTTAATATTTCAACAAAGTTATTTTAATTTTATACATAAATAAACGCTGCAAACTACATTTGCGGGTTTAAAAATCCAAACATTAGTTTCAACTTTGCTATTATTATTAATATCGTTTTAATAAAGTTTAATTTTTAAACTTCGATGTTGTTGTTGAAAACTAACATATTAACGGGTTAGAAATACAATTAATATTATAATAAATGAATTTAATCATGCTACTAAATTATATGGTCGAGTATGAAACCTGAACGTCTCCTCTACCACCAGTTCCCTCAGCACCTCCTTTGGGAGGTCGTCCGACTCCATCTCAAAAGTAAAGGGCTGGTCGGGTACCGGTTCGTCCTGTGGGTCGTAGTACTCACGGAGGTAGGGGTTGGCCAGTGCCTCGTCCACCGTAATTCGTTGCCACGGATTAAATGTTAACATCCGGTCCAACAGGTCCAAGGCATACGGATTAGCATCGGGATACTTTTGAACCCAGGTTAACTTTAGTCTGAAAGGTAGGGACTGGATGTATGTCGGGGTTCTCGGGTTGATTATGCAGTTCAAGTCGTGGACCGATGGCGACCCTAATACGTCCAGTATGCGATTCAGATGATCCACATAGTTTAAGGCTATTTAATGTTACGTAATAATTTTTAAAAAACCTTTATTTGGAATATTTTGCTTGATGGTTTTCAAAATGATGGGAACTGTAGTTAAATACCTAGAAATAGGGGCCGATTGTCGAGCATCTCGGCTAATATTCAGCCAACAGACCAAACATCGATCGCTTTAGTATAGGCCTTACTGTTGAGCATAATCTCCGGCGCCCTATACCATCGAGTGGCCACGTATTCAGTGAGGGCACCGGTATGGTCGTAGTTGGGGTTGGCCACCCGGCCCAGTCCAAAGTCGCAGATTTTTAGTTCGCACGTGGAGTTCACTAATATATTGCTGGGCTTGAGGTCCCGGTGCAGTACGTTAGCCAAGTGTATGTATTTTAAACCGCGTAGTATTTGGTATACAAAATAGCGGTTAATAATCGGCATAATCAGTTTTTGATGAAACTGTTGTCCAAAATACGAGTCAATTTCCGAGACATTGGTTGGACTTTCACTGAGTGGCGACTGTTTAGACTTTCTTGTGCTGAGAGTGGATCTCATGGTCGCCGCCATCACAGGACTACCAGAAGAGGCGTCCGATTCTGAGGACATTAAAGATGACTGCAGACTAATAACCGATGTATTTGTGGACGCATTGAAACCGACAACTGAAGACTCGGCAGACGAGTCGGGACTCTTTGAAAATCCATCTTTTGAAAGGACTAAAGATATGGTTCCGTCACTGCTTTCAGAAATCACAGACTTTGCAGAACTCTTTGTTGAGTTGTCATCACTTTTACCAAAAGAGTCTTTAGATGTATAGCTCACATCTCTTGGGATTGTCTGTGTTTGTGAAGAGTCTTCTGATGTATTGCTGATATCTTTTGAAGCCATCGATGTCTGTGACGAGACATCGGTTGACGAGTAATTGTCAGACAGTGTTGAGGCCTTCAATGAATTTCTTCTTGAATTCTCGTAATATTCATCCAATGAATTGGCCTCAGAATCAGCAATATTTGGATGCATTTGTGAAAACATTTCCACATATTTCTTGCATTTTTCGAGTCCTTCTTCACTCCATAGCATCGTTTTCTGACTGAATGGTACGATTGGGTCCATATGTGGAGATTCCTGAAGCCTCCAGAATCCAGGCTTTCTTTCAACCATTTTCTGATCAATTGTTTCGAAGAGAATTCAGTACTTCTTGAATAAGACTTGATTTAAGACTTGTTTTAAGACTTGTGTAATAATTTAAATATTTGTGTTACTATTGTTGGTATGACTTATATTGAATTCGCGTTCATTCCCTTTATTATTGAATTCTATACACAATACAAATTAAACATAAAGTTAACGGTTTTTATTCAAACAATATTTAAACGGCAAATAACTTGCGAATAAATAAAACATATTTGAGATCAGAGGCTAAATTGAATAACAAAAATAATTTTGAACAAAACGATAGAAATGAATGCAAATCAATTAGCATTGGATCGGACGGAGACATCCGATACATTGCTTTTTTGAGAACCAATCTTCGATTGAGTGGATCCCTTAGCGGCACCGGTAACCGAGGTTTTAGACCTGTCTGAACGTGTGGTCGGCGGCCCAGCCTTTGATAGCGATTCTGATTTAACATTGGAGTCCGGTTTGGATGTGAGAACCGTTTCCTTTTGTCCACTCTTTGATCGCATGCCTGAAACACATTGAGTGGTATATAAGACATAAGATACGGAAAGCTCTTTGATAGCGATTCTGATTTAACATTGGAGTCCGGTTTGGATGTGAGAACCGTTTCCTTTTGTCCACTCTTTGATCGCATGCCTGAAACACATTGAGTGGTATATAAGACATAAGATACGGAAAGCATGTCCTCATGTGCAAGACTCACAGAAAAAGATGAGACAAATGAATGCAATGAGTACTGCGATCACAAACAACACGATCAATACAGTCATGAATTTCTATGGGCTATCCGGAGGGCCTTTGCCACCCGTTTCGTTGCCATTGGATGGGGTGGTAGCGCTGTCATTAGGTACAGGGTCACCATCTGATCCAGGGTCGTTGTCATTTTTCGGCAAAATATGAGACGGTAACAAAAGGGGTGAACTTTGGTTGCAATTCAAGAACTCTTTCAAAGTATACTTTAAATGAATTGAATTGAGAATCAATTGTCAGTAAAAATCACAAATATTTTGCATCAAAAGTATTACAGATTTCACTTCAGTCGCCACTCCTGTCCGGCCGTTGGGATCTAAGAGATAGACGTGCTCTTTGTCTTGATATGCAAAGATATTGCCATTCCTGACCACAAGTCCATAATACTTTCGCAGCGCTTTTTTTATAGTGAAATTAAATTGGCCGTCGATTTGTCGATAATACAGTTCATAAGTAACAGCCACTAGACCTTCCACTATAGGGGTTTTAGTGGTCACGTCCCCAATGGACGGTCTCGTTGTCAAGGCATAAATGCGTTGGTCTGTGCCGTCGTATGCGAACAAATACTCACTACAGTTACCAATCGGCCAAAACTTGTTATTAGTGCCCGTAATGGCGGCGTTTAGGGTCAAATTCCAGGGCATGTCGTTCACGTCGGTCACGGGGGTGAGGAGCACCGCCTCCGTTCTGGTAGGCTTTGTACCCAAACTGTTTGACGCCACCACTTCCCATGTGGCCGACCACAAAACTCTTGCTGAAAGCTTTGGTCATAAGCGCACAGTTGGTCTCCAATTCGTTGCATTGCTTCGCGGGGCCAAAGTCCAGGGCACTCGTGATGTCAGAAAATTGGGCCGCTTTTGGGTGATTAAGAAGTTAGTCATTCAATGGACAGTAGTGTCAAGGGATTCATTAGAACGCTTACAATCAGTGAAGAGACTCCCAATGCCAGCCCCGCCGTCGAACTTCCAAACCTTGTCCTTTATGTTAGCCCTGTAGTAATAGGTGGTGTTCCCGAAGTAAAGGGTGTCACCGATTAGGAAAAGGCCGGGTAGTTTATTCATGATGGTGTCATTGAAAGCGCACACATCCATGGTATCCCCCATCACACCATTGATGGCCACCAATACTATCCATACGAGCGTTGAATGCGAGACAAACATCTGATGTTTGGATTAAACTGAAGAACTTATTCAAAGACTTTTTCAGATAAAAACTGTGGGAACGGTTGTAATGAAACGGTTTGAGTGTTTGTAATACAGTTAATTTAATTGTTGAATGGATGGGAATCTCGCAGTCAGTATTCAAATTTCAATCCAACGCTAAAACACAAACACAAAAAGATGTCGAAAGACAGGACAGGGAGCAGTGGGAGTGAAGAGGAGGCCGTTTTCAGTGTACCCCCGGATGCTTCGTCTCAAGAATTGGGTTTACAATTAAAACGCGGCGAATATCTCGTGGAGTCCGAGAGGTATGAGGCGGAAGGGACGGCCAAAACTTGGCTCACTATTGACTATTGGAAGACTCGGCCCATCAGTGAACTGTTGCTGAAAATCAAACAATTGGAAAGGGATTCCATGGACCCAGAGTGCGCCCAAAATGCACAGACTCTCAGATCATTTACCAAAGAATTGCATGATTTCCGGTACAAACAGAAGTCAATGCGAAACACTGGGCCCTCAATGACGCCACAGAGGTATAAGCAGGTCGGAGGACACAGTCAGGGGACACTACCTCCCGTAGCCATGTCTGGTCGAGTGACCGGTGGAAATACACCGAAATACCCGTATATAGACGACGTGTACCCCAATTACGAGCAGATGAGTGATCGCACGAAATCATTGCTGAGCGCCAGTCATCGCAAAGGCAGAAAAGAGTTTGAGTCCCGTTTCGCTGTCAATACACCAGAGAGTCATGAAATAGACAAAGACGTCAAAGCCATGAGAAGGGATACAAACTTCCCGATCATTCGCGACCCATTCAATGCCAAACGCGAAACCAAACGGCCCTTCAATTTGGAGAAATACAAGAGGGATGTGCCGCAGATCCTGTCGTCAGCCTTCAGACAGAGTCGCAAACAGACTGAAGTCATGCAAAGACAGAAGGGATGGGATCAGAGAAGACAAGAGGAGATGCAGTCATACAACCAGAGAATGATTGGAAGGCGTTATGACGACAAACCCGAGAGACGGCCCAGAATTGAGGCGCAGACACCCGAGCCATACGTCTCAGAGCTGAGGGAAGGCGCCAGAGAACAGATGGGATTCGGTCTCATCGAAGACTATTACGAGGATAAACCCACAGCAACAGACCCAGACATCCACTCCCACACCAACGTCCAGGACATTTGGTTCACTTCTGCGACGACCGTTCGGCAGACAGCAGACAGAGACCGCCGAACCATCGACCAGTCGATCCGAACGGATCCCATCGGACCCACTCGACCCAAACGCCGCTGATATCTATACCCAAACGCGCCAACCGTATGATCCCGAGAAACTGACTCATAGCCGAGCGCTGACTAAAAGCTATGTGGAATCGGGGAGAGGCGGACCCCATGAGGCCCGGTATATGCGTCGACTGCGACACCAGGAGCAGAGGGAACCGTCAGAAAGTACAATACCAGAAGAGGATGAAAATCCACCCCCATCTACACCCACCCCCACACGCCGAACGACTCCTTTTCCCCCTTTTCCTTCGCCAATCAATTGGAACCGACCACGAGATCCAGTTGTATTAGATTCAGAAGGAAGATGGCAAGTGGTCAGCAGTCGTAGGCGCCCCTCACTCCCCCGCTTCAGGGACAGCCATTTCCAATGAAATAAATGTTTGTTTTAATCGATGAGATATTGTGTTTAATTTATTTAATTTGGTTTGGGTTGTGATAATTGGTGTTTGTTTTAGTTATAATATTTCATGTCATAAATAATGAGTGCATTATTTGGTTGGTCGTACCTGAAGACTAACTGTGCCATTAAGACCATACGGGCTCATTGCGCCAGTAGCTCAGGTCGATTCTCGGGATCTCATTCCCACTGCAATCCAGTTTACGGTTCCTGTCATTGAGATTAGTGATTAAA